CGTCTTTCGGCGGTCGTCAGATGTACGTTGGTGATCGACACCTTTCTGACGATCGTCGACCTTGGAGGAGGTCGAGGACTTGGTGGCTGAAGAGGAGATGGACCTGGGCTGAGGGATTTGGGAAGTTTGCTCCGACTGCTTCGGCGGTGGAGGAGGCTGTTTCTCAGGTTGTTCCGGTTGTCGAGGTTGTTCCTCGGGTTGGTGTTGCTGGGACGGAGGAGGAGGAGCCACTGGTGATTGACGAGGAGGCGATCGCTGCAGGGGCTCGGATTGAGACCCGGACGAAGTGGTCGATTCCTCTGCTCTACCGCTGGTCGATCCACCAGTGGCACCGGCCTTTTTCTTCAAGGGGACCCTCCTCAGCGGAATATTAAAACTTGGAGCCTCTGTACAAATAGGCCAATGACATTGTTAATTCCTACCTTGATAGAAATAAAAACACACGCGTAAGTACTCGAAAAGGTTGAACGAGGTTTACCTGGGTCATTTTCGAGACGGACGAGGTCGAGAACCTCCTCGGTGGGTGGAGATAAGGTTTTGTGGGTAAGAAGACCGCAAAAGTGGAGGAGGTTCTCATCCTTAAGAAGTTTTTCGGACGCAACGGTCTTGGAGTTCCAAGTATGAATCCGTTGGTCGAAAAGAGGATTGTTGGGAGGAGCCAAGGCGGCATCTCGAGAAACAGTTCGGATCCAAGGAATGGAAGGCCAGAGAAAGGGAGCATCAGGCTTGACGTAGATGAATCGGTCGATCCATTTAGGAAGGTTAGAAGGAACATCATCGATGAAGTGAGCCCCATTGCGGCCCTTCAAATAAAGGCCTCGACCTTGCCTGGAGGGACCGTAACAGTAATGGAAGAAGTCTAGATCGAACCGACCTAGACGGATATGGCAAAGGATGATGAAGGTGTTTATGAAGCGGATGGCGTTTGGAGGAAGTTGATGTAAAGGAAGGGAAAACCATTCACAAATGCGGAGTATCTCGGGATTCAAGGGAAAGCGCAAGCCGAGTTTGAATTGAATCTCAAAAAAGGTATAACAACCCTCAGGGGGCTGGTCGTATTTATCGGATTCGGAAGGGCGGTAGAATGCCCAGCCAACGGGTCGCCCGATTTTGGAACCGCTCACCCAATCGCTGGAAAGAGAAGAGATTTTAGAGGTGGCCTCAGTCGACTTTTTCTTTGGCAAAGAGGCAGGAGTGCTCGGTCGGGCAGAAAAAGGAGGGATGGTCGAGGGAGGAGAAACAGATTCACCCCTCTCGGTTTCATCTAACTCACCAATAGCGGGTCGGCGACGACGGAGGGGAATATTATCCATGGTGTCGCCGGAGTTGGAAGAAGCAGCGCGGGCTGTGAAAACACGGGTAGGAACGGTTTCCCCTGGCCGAAGGATAGAAAGAGGAACGGCTTCAAGGGCTGAAGGCAAGACCTGAACCGAATCGGAGGAAGTGCTCGAAGCAGCAGAGTCTGAAAACAAAAACAAAACACAGAGGAAGGACAATATCAGAAAGGAGAATTTGGGCGGAAAAGGACAAGAGTTGGAAAAGAGGGTTTTCGAAATTAGGGTTCTACAAAAGAGGGGCGATTTTGGGGAAAATTGAGAAGGGAAAACAGGGGTTCCGGAAAAGTTTCAGAGGGAGAAGACAAAATCTACAGCGATTAACAAGCAAAGGCCGACATCCAAACACACAAATCCAAAATACTCAGTCAGCACATTTCAAACACCCAATTCAAGAAGTTTAAAACGCAAAATCCTAGACACAGGAAACATAAAATCAAAAGAGGAGCAACTTACTCATGACGGCAGGAGAGAGACGGGGAAAACCTTGGAAATTGCAGGACAAATCGCCGAAAACAAGCAGGGTCCTTGCGAAAGGAATATTTGAACACAAGAGAATTCGAAATTGCAAAGGCGAAAAAACTGGAAAAATTCACTAAGTACCAAATTTATACTCAGAGAGTTAGAGCGTTGGGAGAGCAGGACCGTTGGATTAAAGTGAGATCTAACGGTAGGGAGCATTAATTGGCACAGCGCTCAAAGTGGGCGCGTTATGCGAGGAGGCGTTATCATTAAAGTAACTGACAAATGCGGCAGATGCGACACGTGGCAGGAAAGCAGGCACGACAAAAGGAACATGTGACAGGTGACCCTATCCCTGGCAATTAATGAGGTATTATTTGAAAAAATAGGCGGGACACCCATCAGATGGTCGACATCGGACGTCACGTTACCAAGGAGGTCGATAGACACAAGTTCACTCTTAGATCGAGTCATCCAGACTCGACCAGAGTGGGGGGGACTAGATGATATGAGATATTATACCCAATAGGCTGAACCGGTCTATGGACCGGTTGAGGAGGTCATATTCTGAAGAAGTCGAGGGAATCGAGCAGTCACTCAGTCGACCAAGCAAAGCTGTCGACCAAACTATTCATCGACCAGATAGGCGATCGAGCATTCTGTTCGACCTCAACAGGTCGATTATCTCGAGGACTTGACACCACGTCGTTCGGCCTGGTCATAGGCGCGTGAAAGAAGCCTCTGACAGAATTCCAAGAGAATATTTACCCCATGTGCTGGGGGACACGTGTCGAGAACGCAGTGGTGGATGACGATAACCACCTCTGACAGCCTACCCCATGTGCAGGGGGACACGCGTCCAAAGAGGATTGGTGCAAGCGATAGTGGCGACGGCTACCTCTGACACACGCGTTTGGTGTGTACGGACGGGCAGCTAGGGCAGACAGCTCATCAAATCCGGGCAGCCCTAGGTCAGGTATCTCACCCCTATATAAAGGGGGTGAGCCTTTCTTCTTCAACACGATCATTCTATTACTCTTGAGAATTGATTGAATACACACTGACTTAAGCATCGGAGGCTCTTCACCGGAAAACCCCTCCGGTGTGAGAGTTCTTTGTAGGTACACGACGTTCAACCGGCGAGAAGGAAGGCGATTACTCAAGTTCCAGCCGGTCGAGGAGTTTTGTGTTACCATTATTATTATTATTATTATTATTAGTGGTATTATAGATTTGTTAGAAAACTTATTATTTATCACTTTTGTTAGGATTCTTGTCTTGTTAGACAAGTTAGTATTGTTAGGATTCTTGTCTTGTTGTACAAGTTAGGATTAAGGTTTATGAGCTTTATATAAAGGACTCACCCTCGTTTGTTATCTCAATTTGATTTTGAATGAAAAAAAAAATATATTGTTGAGTTTTACGTGTTTTACGAGAGAGTATCTCGTTTACTCGTTTATCTTTTCCATTTCGTTCACGCTTTCCCTACATCACTTGGGTTAGTTTAATTTTCTTTGTCTTAACTTAATTAGTCTCCGATCGATCACCTAAAAAATGTCATGTCCGAATGGTTTTTTTATATAGATAATTCGACACTACTCAAATACAAAATAATATGTAAGAAATTAACTAGTCTGTTGCATGCATGCATGCATGCATGTGTAATCTAAAATGTGTAATTAGTTCTTTCGGATGCCTAATTATATGTACTTATAGGATTGAGATTACCTCTTTGCAATTCATTGAAATCCCCCATCTTTTGTGACTCATCTCTTCTATAACTCAATCTCAAAGGATCTTTCTTTGGTTATTACTGATCATGTAAGACATGTTGATCATATATGGCTATAATCTTCTAAAAATTCTTGCAGATTTTTCCTCCCTCCCAAATGTAGCTTGATATTTCTTGAGACAATTAACAATTATTCCGCAATGTTTGTACACAAGTTGATGATAAGCTAACTGATAGTTGATAAGTTAGTTTAATTATTGCTTCTTAGAAAATTTCAAGATTATAACTGATAGCTTATGACTTGTGGCTGAAAAGCTAGCTTATAGACTAAAAGTTTTTGATATATTAGCTGATAAGCTAGCTGAAAAAAATATCATCAGGCGTTACATAATGAAGCTTATGAGAAAAGCTTGAGTTTTTTCCTTAAAAAAATTGTCCCACCAAACCAAACTTATTTAGATCTATAAAGCTTATAAGTTAAAACTTATGATACTTAATCATCAAACACATTCTAACTATTGAGTCATTCAGTAAGTTTTGGAGCTATTTAAGTCTAACCATTAGCTTCACTTGTGATGTCGTCGACTCAACCTTTATCTTCTTAGTTCGATCGGGTTAACTTGCAACAAAATCAACCCGACATACATAACCCCCCCAAGTAATAATTGATAGACAAATGAATTATTTTGTCTTTGTTTACTTCTTACGACATTATTGATTGCTCCTATAGTCATAGCTTTAAGCCATTAATTTACGTGTTTTTGTATACTCCAACAATATTATGTATTAATGGCACGTTTTTTCGGTACAAGTTAAAGTCGATTTTCAATTTATATGTAAAATCTACGCCAACAAATTGATCGGTGCCTACACTACTAATCACGCCTGCATAAATTCTCCGGCCGTCGCCGTTGCCGTCTGCTTTAAAAGCCTCCCAAAATTCACAACACTTTCCAGTTTTCCTCTTCCTCTCAACCAACACAAAACACACACACACACACTCAAGGTTTTCTTTTTCCGCCATTACCAAGCATTTTCACAAAATGCAGGCAGGTCCTCTGGTCCCCCTCTCCCCCAGCTTCAACAGCTATTCCAATCCCAGACTCGCCGTAATCGCCGCCCGCGTCGCCGGAGAATTCGATTCCGGTGAATTCTACGAAGACTTCTACTCCCAGAGGCTTGAAAATCCAGCGCAGGACGATCAACGAGGAGCAGGAATTTCAGAGAAGCGGAATCCAGAGGCGGATTCCGCAGATCGAGATGAGGATTGCGATTTCGCGTTCGTGACGAGGGGATCGGGATCTTCGTCTCCGATTCCGGCGGACGAGGTATTCCAAAACGGTAAGATCCGACCAGTTTACCCTGTTTTCAACAGAGATCTTTTAGGGCGTCAGGGGAAATTTCAATGTGTAAACGAAATTGGGGGTGATGTTGACCGGAGTTCGGGCTCTTGCCGCCCTAGGGTTCGCCACCCGCTTAGGGATCTTTTCATCGAGGAAAGGGGAACGACGATACTGACTGTGTCTTCGAGCTCGTCCTCGTCGGAGGCTGACGATTCGCCGCTTCCGCTGCCACTGCCACCTTCGGCGGAGGACGGCCGGAGAGAGAAAAGCATTTCGGCCGGCGGGAATTCGAAGCGGTGGAGGTTCAATGTGAAGGAACTCGTGCGCAGGAGCCAAAGCGAGAGGAGCAAAGGCAGTATTGTACTTTTGGCCCACACCAACAGCGCCGTGAAGAGGGAAGATGAAAAGCGGGCTGTGGCGGAAGCCCCGTCGTACCGTCGTGGCGGCGACGATAAGCGGCGGTCGTACCTGCCGTACAGGCAGGATTTGGTGGGGTTCTTTGGTAACGTGTATGGGTTGAGAAGGAATTTCAAGCGCTCATGAGATTTTTTAATTATTTTGCTTTTAAATTTTTTTTCCAGAAAGAATTACTTTTTCGCATCGAAAAAAAAAGAAAAAATCGAACGTTTTTGGGATATCCATTTACGTAAGTGAATTATTATTATTATTATTCATAAAACAAGATCAATTTTCAATGGCATGCAGCAAAATTTTTGCATGCGATTATTTTTTCTACTGAGAAATTATTATTGCATGAATTGAGATTTGTTTGTAGGATAGGCTAGCCTTAGTCAATTAGTTAGTTCTGATTTGTTATTTTAGCCGTCAGATCACATAATGAATGATATCTTAAGAAAAAACGAAAAAACAAACTAAATCAAATAAATGAGAGATTCTACAATCCACGACGGTGATATGATGATTTAACAGTTACAAATCCCGACGAAATAATTCCGTAACGGGACTGTAGCATTTCCCCAAATTATTAACGTCTACATAAATTTTAGAATCCGTAACTTATATATCGTCACTCCTCTACAGTCTACACACCAATCTTGTCTGTTGTGTACAAAATGATTCATATGTAATTAATTAAAAATTCTATGAAAAAATCTTGTCTGTAGTGTTGTGTACAAAATGATCACCCACCCTCCTCCTCTACAGTCTACACACCAATCAATCTTTGCATCTCAACAACGAGCTCCTCCAATTTGTTATATATCTCAGACGACCTTTCATGTGAACAGTCCCCCCCACCTACAAAACCATGAACCCTCCCCTTCACTTCTATCCAACTACATCCCGGTTTTTTCCTAAACCCCAATTCCTTCTGCTCAATTCTCACCTTCTCCGCGTCATCCCACCTCCACGCGCTCGTGTACAGATTATACAACAAAACGAAATTCCCCGTGCTCGATGCCCCCCCCACCGACCGGAATATCTCACCCGAAACCCGTTCCCCGAGCTCCACATTCTTGTGGATCCTGCATGCCGCCAGCAAAGCATTCCACATATGCGCGTCGGGCTCGAAGGGCATCCCGCCCCGGACGAGCCCGTAAGCCTCGTCCAAAAGCCCAGCCCGACCAAACAGATCCACCATGCAAAAATAATGATCCATCTTCGGGCACAGCCCGAATTCCTCCCTCATGGCCCGAAACACGCGCCTCCCCTCCTCAACAAGGCCCGAGTGGCTGCAAGCCGAGAGGAGAGCAACGAAAGTTATCTCGTCCGGTTTCGGGCCTACGGTCCGCATGTCCTTGAAAAGCATAACAGCTTGCGGCCCAAGCCCGTTAATACCGTAGCCCATGAGCATAGTGTTCCACGAGACCACGTCCTTATTAAAACCCATCCCATCAAAAACGCGCCTTGCTGCACGGATATCGCCACATTTACCGTACATGTCAACCAGAGCATTACAAATTGAGATATCTGAAACGAAACCGCGCACGACCGAGTGGCCGTGCCCGCAAATCCCGAGCCGCAGTGCAGATAGATTGGAGCAGGCTGGGAAGAAGCCCATCATTGTGGCAGGTTCAGGGCCAAGGCCCGCCAGCTGCATCTTGCGGAAAAACCTCAGGGCCTCATCGTAATGCCCGTTCTGGA